GCAGAGGAGTAGAGTGCAGCGATAGGTAGTGGCAGCTAGCGCTGCCATAGCTGTAGCCTAGCATGTGTGTGTGTGAAGTGTGATACTGAGTGTTGTGTGTGGGACATCCAGGGTGATCCAGAGTGCGAGCAGTGAGTTGTGTGGGCGCTCAGTCGCCATAGCCAGTTTGAAGAGAACTCTTATGTGGATACGATATCTTGAGTACTGAGTGGGGATTTGGGCGCTCAGTCGCCATAGCCAGTTTGAAGAGAACTCTYATGTGGATACGATATCTTGAGTACTGAGTGGGCGCCTGTCGCCAATTTGCTGTTTCGCTGTTTGCATTCATGACAAGTTGAATAATCGTAAGTGTGATTTCAAACCAGATGTGTGCCTCCCTTTGACAATTGTAAGTGCACGGACAGAAAATAGTTTGGCGCCGCATCGTACTCCTCATGGGATCTAGTCTCTTTTCCAAAGGGTCCCCTGCAAAGAATGAGCAGGGATCCCACACATTTGGAGGGACGTTCATCGAATTGCTGGAGGATCAGGAGCAGGCCAGCAATATATTCTGGATTCGGATACAGGTCTGCGTTCCAAGAGTTATGGACATAGTTGCGGCGCATCACGTGCGTGCAAGTTGCGCACGTGCGCCGCAGCGCACATGCGCACACGTGCGCACGCACGTGATGCGGCGCATTTAGAAAATAATAATAATAAAAAAAATCAGAAACGGTGGGTTGTCGTACCCCTAAGTGTCCCTCCCTTTTAAAAAGGGTCAGTACACAGAAAGAGAATATTTTGGGGCCTCGTCGTACTGCTCATTGGTTTGATAACTTTGATTCTCCTTTCCGAAAAGTACCCTGCAAGCAATCAGCAGGGTTTGCATAACCTTTGGAAGGATGTGCATTGGACTGCTGGAAGACCACGAGTAGGCCTGCAATATCTCCCGGATTCGGATTCAGGTCTGTGTTCCAAGAGTTATGGGTTAAGTAACTTAAGTTCTTACCACAAACACTCCAGTAGTTGTCTCGTTTTTTTTTTTTTTTTCCCTTTTCTTACGTGCAATGGCCCTAAGGGCCTCACTCCACTCATCAGCACTGGCAGAAAAGAAAAAGGGATGGCTTGTATGGTTCCAGTTTCTTGGAGAAGATTCATTCTAGTTTTGCACATACAGTAGCTGTCTCGTTTTTTTGTTTTTCCTATTCTTACTTGCGTGCAGTGGCCCTAAGGGCCTGGCTCAACTCATCAGCACTTGCAGAAAACAAAAACGTATGGCCTGTATGGATCCAATTTCTAGGAGAAGATTCATTCTAGTTTTGCACATTTGGTGGTTTGGAGTGAAGCCCTCAAAATCACATGCCGAGTTAGTAAGTCAGTAACCCATAACTGCTGAAACACGGACCTGAATTCGAAGCTACACCATATATACCTGGCCTGCTCCCTCCTTACTACAAGCCCAGGGACTATCCTTCTTCTGCTGACAGAACCTTGCTAAGTTGGCAGGGAACATTTGAAGTGCGGGCAGGGGTTTTCTGAATAATGTGAAAGGGGCCAAAAGTCTCTCTCTCTCTCTCTCTCTCTCTCTCTCTCTCTCTCTCTCTCTCTCTCTCTCTCTCTCTCTTCTCTCTCTCTCTCTCTCTCTGGTGTGTATACACGCATCACGGTTGCTTTTTTTTTTTCTTTCCCCCCGCACATCTGCGATCAGCACAGCGCACCGCACGTTTGTGCTGCAAGTATGGTTGATCCCTTTTTTTGTTGTTGTTGAACTTGCGGGACAAGACTCCGAACAAACTATTTCTTTTGTAATCTCAGCAAAGATGTGTTTTTCGGACTTTTCCGGGTGTTCCTTCTTCTCCCCTTTTTGTTTGTCTGTTGGATTGGCAGGTTGATGGGCCAGAGCTGCTGTTCAAAATGGTTAAAGGAGACTTTGAACTATTTGAAGGAAAATGGAGTTTGCGTCCCGGCGAAACAGATAGCGGCAGGTCAGTAAGCTGGGTGGGGTGGGGTGGAGTTGGGGGGGGGGGGGTGGAGTGGGGGAGGGTGTGGTATGCACCACACGGGCCCCTTGGGCCCGTAATAGGTTAGGGGGTTTAGACAGGGGGTAGGGGGGTTGTTAGTACTCCCTTTCGAGCCTCAGCTTAGCTAGAGACAGTCCCTTCCCTCTAGCCCACACGTATCTGACCGCATAGGAGGGCCGCTGCAGGCCAAGTGGCCGTCAGTTAGGCCAGGTACACCTGCCAGTTTACTGTGGTCACTTTCTCGGTTGACTGGGCACCAGTTTCATACTGCCACTTGGGCGCCATGTCTCAGTTTGCCGCCAGGGCGCCACTTTTTCAGTTTTCTTTGGGCGCCACCTCTTCAGTTTACTGGGCGCCGCCATGTTTCAGGGCGCCAGTCTACTTCGGGCACCACTTTTCAGCAAGAGCCCCAGTGACAGCTGCCTCCTGTTCGGAGGCTCACTTCAGCGGTAGGCCCAGCGGTATATATATAGCTGGGCGAGCCTCATTTGGAGGACAGACAGTCGGACACACAGTCGGAGGTAGAGTAGTCGATGCACTGGGCGCAGGAGCAGTAGACTTCAGCGCTGGGCGCTCTCCATGTTGACGACATCAGCTTCGAGGTTGGGCTGCAGCATACTGCAGCGGGTTGTGGAGGAGTAGAGGATGAGGTGGAGGCCAGGGGACTTACCTGTGACGCCATAGCTTCAGCTTCGTCTTCAGCATGTCCGTACCTGCATCAAGGCACCTCCTTTCTGCAGGTCAGTATCTGGTTACATCAGAGAGAGAGAGAGAGAGAGAGAGAGAGAGAGAGAGAGAGAGA